AAATGGAGGAATGTAACCCCCCTTTTAGGGATTTTGATTTAAAGCACACCCTGTGGTGCAATTTCAAAATCACTTTCAAATGTTGTCAATCAAAAGACTAAATAGAATTGATTTGAAATGTTTAAGAACAAGGTTTAAAAAGTGATATTTCAAAGGCCTGCAGGTTCCCCTCCCTCCACACATTCATGCAGTCAGCAGTAAGCTTCTTAATCGAATCCAACAAGAATGACTTATCTCAGTCTACGGGCACTTACGCAAAAGTTCTCAAATCAAAGTCCAACCACATCAACCCCTGCCAGAGAGACATAGCTCATCCTGAGAAATGTTTTCCGTTTGACTTCAGACTGTCTTTCATCAGGCTGGTGCAGAGCTGATGTCCAAGTCTGGGCGTCTACTGTCCTTGGCTTGTCGACATAAATACAGTTTTAAAGCCAACAGCTGACACAAACAGCCCTTGATTTTTCAAAACTTGTGCAACCGTTGCCATGTTTTTTCTATTTGTGTTTGGTGCAGAGTATGTTTCTATCATTTTAGCCATATGAATGTCACCAAGATTCTGACTATGTGGCAACATGAAATGACCAAAGGTAAAAATGCTGGATAAAAATACAGAATCTGATGCCCTGTCAATATTTCTGGAGTTGGCATGCAGCAAGAGGAATCATGTATGGAGCTTGTGTATTTTTGCAGGAAGGAAAAATTGAGCAGAAGCTATTTAGCACATAAGGACACCAACAGATTTGCCAGAATTTCAAACTTCTTCATGCATTTAAAATCCTTCTTATTAGGCTTGCTGAGCTCATATTTTCAGCCTGACTCGGCCTCAGGCAGCCAGTCAAAACTTTACAAAGCGTCAGTGAAGCAGTGGCAACATTTGACCGAAGCAAATCATTCTGTAATTGGCATTACAACTTGAGGGAACCAAAATATTCGGTGGGTTGAACTCAGATGCTTCTTTTCTTGGCTGGCCTCAAACTTTTAGAGAGTGGCTGCTGAAAAGAAACACGTCAGGCCCTGAAGCATTCACAGCTGCACATTATGTCACTGCATCCAGCTGTTGGTCATGCAAACAGTGCTTTGTGGACATCATGTTCAACTGTTATTGGAAAAGCTCCAGCACAGGAAAACTGTTAAGTTACACAATGTTTGGAGTGTGTGAACAATTGTATGTGAGTGACAAGTTCATTGTGTGACTTAGTGGCTTTGGCATGAGTGGTTACATTTCTCTTAAGGTCACACTGCACATTATACAAACTGTTTGGGGGGGAAATATAGTTTCTGTTAGTTTGAGTTACTGCAAATTGTGCAAAATGCTAAATATATTTAGTGGACATTCAAAGCTTATCATGCTTGTTTGTTGATAAATATATATTATTATTGCTGCAACTTCCACTAAAAATTGTTATGTTTTTTGCCAAGAGTTAGAGAAGATTAATACCATTCATATGTTCTTAGAGTTAGCTACTGTTGAATTAGCTTAGCATAAAGGCTTGAAATGTTGGAAAACAGCATTCACTCAAATGCACCTCTAAAATGCATTATCAAGTTATATCTCATATGTTTGATCCAAACAAAATCTACAGTCACACAGGGTTTCTTTTTGGCTATGAGTAACTTAAGCCAGGTGCTAGCTTACTTCAGAGAATGCAACGTTGCTGCTTCCACAGCCCGCCATACACCAGTTAATTGTTATTTTGTGTGAAATGTATCCAACTAACTGTTGTACAAATGATACAAACACTATACTTCTGGTGTTTAGAAATGCTAAAGAAATGCTAGGAGGTGAAACCAGTTAGCAGTTAGCAAATACAGATATTAGTATTCTTCTTCTCATCTGAATCTTATTGTAACTCTAACGTAATCATATATCATAAAATGTCAAACTATTACTTTATGATTTTGAAAAGCTTCAAAAAATAGATATCATAACATATTAGCGAACGTAGACATGTTGTAACAAAGGTAAACAGGCATATACAATTTATTATTTTTTCCTTGTATTTTATCAAGGGATCCATAGAAAAACTGTTATGTCTCCTATACCTGGCACATTATCAATAATAATATGAATATATTAATTAATAAATACAATATTATCAAGATCACAAGAAAGAAACAATACAAAGAAAAGTAGAGCAGAAATATGGAGTCCTCGCGTCCTTTGCGTGTTTGTCTCTGTGACATTCAAACCAGCACCTTGTTTCTCACACCTCGGTCAGACAGGTGATTGATGGGGAAGTGATAACACAGGACACAGTCATGCTCCCGCACACAGCACACAAAGCCACCACCACCACAGTACACTATCCAGTTCCTCAGAGAGACATGTTCCTCTATCCGTGTTGTTATCAAAAACAAGCATTTACAGTCCACCCAGCGCTGTCACCTCTGGCAACTGAGCTCTGACAGGTATTCAGTCACCACCGTCAAATCATCACCTGCAGAGAAGTGCAACCGTGCACATGCGACGCCCAGGTTCAACAACAGCTATGCGGCGTACAAGAGCAAAATACCATTTATCATTTCTGACACGTGTTATACATTCCTTGTTTGTTGTTTTAGAGATTCTTAGGATGTATGGCATAGCAGTCGTCACATGATATCTGTGAACCTGAAAAGCTTCTATTTGCAGGAAATTTCACGTAAAATCATGGTGAAAGAGGCTACAGTAGGACTGTCAACATGTTCAGTCCTATGACACTTTTTAATAAGAAACAATACAATCTAATATTAACTGTAGCTTTATGGGGGGGAAAACTGCAGATCTTCATATTTTCAAGCTGTCACAAGCAATATAGAGAGAGCGACAGTAGTCCATTCAAATTAGAGGTACATGATGACCGATATTTCAAATGGAATACTTTGTTTTACATCCCAAGCACTGTAGCGTCCTCTTCCATTCACAGGTGTAATGCCACACCCCCTTGATATGCTGTTAATTTGGGCTAAACTATAAACTAAGATCTACACCCCGATCTATCTGTGACAAACTGAGCCTGCCCAGCATCAAATGTGTGGACAACTGTAGACACTGTCTGAATGATAAAAATCTACTGGCCATGTTTTGGTACTGAAACATTAACAATATTTCAGCAATTTAGACATTTATTTAGACAATTTAGACAATGTGCAGGAGTTTTCTTGTCATTTCTTGGTCATTACAAACAAGGAATTAGCCAAAAATGGGTGCCTAGGACATCTGTTTTAGTTGCCATGGTATCTAAAAAGGTATCAACATTTGATTTTTACAAGTATCGTATCAAAGTTTGAAGTTCTTGTTCTGTGAAAAAAACGTAAACATAAAAGCAGCTGTAGTTGGAAGTTTCATCCCCTGAAGGATCTAGTGGGTCTAAAAGGTGATTCATGATTTCCAGATGACAAACCGTAGATATACATCTGAGAGTACAACAGCCCTGTTTTACTGTGCAGGCCTCCACATGGGACGCACATGGTGTCAACATGCACAGCTGGTGTGTTGACATGACATCCCCATACGTCCTGACAGGAAGCTGTGTGCGTGCAGAACAAAATGGCTGCCAGAAAACAACAAACCATCGGGAGGCATGCTCACTGAGTCCTTTCTATAAGTCTGTAGAGCACATGTTGCCCTTCAGGAGACCTTCCCAAAACATGAAATTCCCAATGAAATTCCATAATCCATAATCCTTTATTGATCTATAATCCGAGGCGGATTAGGTGACATTCCATTAAGTTTTTTTCTTTTTCCATCAACGCAGAGATTGGGCAATGTAGAAAACCCAGTTTCTGGGTCAAATAATACACATAAGAGTCATATGTGCTAAAGCCGGGGCTAAATATAGGTTTTCTCTGTACGTCGAGGGATTCCAGTCTCAGAAGGATATTTCTTTAATCCTTTTCATGCCTCGTTTCATGAGCTGACATTCCAACACCAGAGATATAACCTGCTGACTCCTCTGCAGATTTCAGCGGACTTTTGTCACTTCCTTTCTACAGCTGGAGTGTCTAAGTCAGTCCATATGAACTACCTTCAGCTTTATTTGAGCTTGCAAGTGTATCCAAACCACTGTAGCTTCATAGGAACCAAAGGAACAGGATATTGTCCATACAATATGCCATTCATAAAGGAAGGGGTCATTACAGCTTTACTGCAACAAGTCTTGTTCTCATGATTACATGTTTCCTGATCTTTACTTGACTATATTTAGTCTTAACCTTGCTGCAATGCCTTTCATTTTATGGATAGATACTTGACAGATTAAAAAAGACATCTTTAAAATTACAGTCCCATTCTAAAAAAAAGTGTAATGTTGCATAAAATGTAAATTAAAACTGAATTTGATAATTTGCAAAACACTGCTACCCTATATTTTATTGCACATATCACAAAGAAGCTGAGAAATGTCAGTGTTTTTGTAAAACGATACGCCCCCTTTAGTTCTTACAAACAGGGTTGTAATTACCAGAGAGACTCTGTACTTTGATTGTGTGGACATCGTCTCTGTCGCCAAACTTTCATCTCAGACTGAACTTGTAACATACTCAAGTCTTAGGAGGTAAATCAGGACCTTGAGTTCTATACCTATTCCTTTTTCTTTTTTCGAAGGAATCAACAACAGACCAGAAAGAAAAATAAGATATGAGTTTCTTTGGATTCAACTGAAGGTAAAGGTCAGAAAACGTCAGGGTTTCTGGGAAAGTTTCTGCAGTAAAAGAGGGCTAATGGATTCTATGTATGCTGTCTTATAATCAGGTACGTTTACTCAAAGCACAAAACAGCAGACATAAAACACTGAAAAAGAATCATCAACAAATATCTCTCCCATCTATGTCACCATTTTTGTGGTGGAAATTATGTAAATTAAAATCTGATCCTCTGTTCTTTTGTCATGACCAGATTTCAATAAAGTTAACTGACTCTAAGCCATCTACTGAACTTAAAGAACAGATACAAGACTTTGTTAGCAGATCTTCAGTAACATTTGTTCAATACAGCAGGCTTTGTCAGGTGACTTCCTTACCTCCAGCACAGGCCCCGCTCCCAGGATGATCTGCTCCACTCCGCTGGCGAATCCCTTCTGGCTGAGCGCCGTCAGGTGATGAATGAGGAAGTTGGTGCTCTGGGTCTTCCCTGACCCACTCTCACCAGAGATGACTATGCACTGGTTCTTCCGTCGTTGCAGCATAGCATGATAAGCCACATCTGCCACGGCGTAAATGTGAGGCTCCAGCTTCCCAAGTGTGTGGTTGTCGTACAATTTGACATATTTAGGATTGTAGATTGGCAGGAACTGGAAGGGGTTAATCACAATAAGAATACTCCCAATGTAAGTGTAGATCTTCTCCTGGCGGAAGCGTGCTCGAAGGCTTTCCAACAGGGCGCGCTCTGTAAGCTCCGGGAGAGCGCAGAGGTCGGACGGTGGGTCACTCCCTGCAGGCTGAGGGAGGAAACCCCGTTCCACCATGCGCCGCCGCTCCTCAGTCACCCGCAGCCACATCTGCAGGCTGCCGCCATAATGAATAGATCCATCCAGGTTCTTCTCCCGTAGGAGGAAGCGGTAGTCCTCGCCGCTGCCCAGGCTGGAGCGATTCTCCAGGGCAGTGCGAGGCCACAGCATCATCCGCTGAACAGGGCAGTCGTTGGGGTTTAGGATCCATTCCTCCCCGCCAAACTCCTTCACCTCAGCTAGCACGTAGCATTTGGTCCGCTCTAGGCATAACCGCTGGATGAGGAACTCGATGGCTTCAGCTGCTGTGGTGTTCTTGCGTGCGCTGACGGGGCAGTAGATGGTTCCCTCAGCCAGGGCTCCAGGATAGACGCGCAGGCTGAAGTCCTGGTCCTCCAGGCGCCGCCGCATGCTGCCACAAGCGGTGGCCATGTTGGCGCTGCTGGCGTAGCTGCAGCCGCCATCTTGTAAACTCATGGTGGCGCAGCAGGTCCCATCAGCACACCGCTCTCTGGGCCCGCAGAACTGACTCAGGACATCCCAACTGGGGGAGGAGAGAGAGGAGATGGAGGAGGTTAAATATGGAAGCAGAGCAACAAGACATCATTTCAAACACCAGTTCATGTCCTCAGAGCCTCGGGCATTTCCAGTACACTGAGTCACAACAGGGTCAGCAGAGTCATGGCGATTCCATCTGACAGAGTGGAGCGACTCAATAGGCTTTCTGTGTTGAATGGTAAAGGGAACAACTATCACAAACACCACAAAGGAAGAGCATGAGACGAGTCAAAGAGAGACAAGAACTGATAGACATTCAAAACAATGAGGAACAGTAGCTGCTTCATGAATTTAAAGGGTACCTGCCAGCTTATCAGAGCCACAAACCCTGTGTGAGGGTGTGTGTGTGTGTGCGTGTGTGTGTGTGTGTGCATGTGTGTGTGTGTGTGCGTGTGTGCGTGCTCATGTGATAATCCAAAGGCTCTAGCCTCGCGCCAAGATTAACAGCTGCCACCTTCCACACAAAAGTGGCTGTAATGAGAGCACAATGGTGTAATTCACCACTTCCCTGTTGATACTGAACACAGTACTCCCTTCTCTCTCTCTCTTTAGACACACACACACACACACACACACACACACACACACTCACAGGGTCCAGTTTTACAGACTATAAATCTCCAAATGTGATGTTGTGAAGATAGGCCTTTAAATAACTGTAAAATATTCAAATGATTTTGCAACAGAGTTGAAGCTGCAAACACTGATTATTTCAAAGACAAAGCAGTACCTCCTTGTTTAAAAGGGTAATATACTTTAGTAAAGGGCTAACGTTTTTTTATTTTTTAAATGTGCTTATTCTGTTTGTGTACAACATGTTTAAACTCATGCAATAAAACAGATGCTGACACATTTTCATCACAGACTAAATCTTTTAAACATGATGTGAACTAAAGGGTATGGACCAATACGTTTGAACTGACATGCTTGTTTTTGGGGTCATTGTCAGAAATGTGTTGAATTCAATATACGTATGTTGTCAGATTTTTACTTTTTATTTTTTTTAAAGATTTATTTTTTCGGGCATGTTATACCTTTATGAGAGAGATAGGACAGTGGATAGAGTCGGAAATCAGGGAGAGAGAGAGCAGGGAATGACATGCGGGAAAAGAGCCACAGGTCGGCATTTGAACTTGGGCCGCCCGCATGGAGGATTACAGCCTCCATACATGGGGCGCGCACACTAACCACTGCGCCACCAGCGCCCCGATTTATTATTATTTTGACCATTGCATTGCAGGTTTTTGTTGAACTGGTCTTATTGCTGAATTAAAGCACATTCAAACCTGCAGGAGAATACAGTACATGAATGCAGACAATGCAGTCCAGGATTTCTATTTTCCCTTGCTTTGTCTTGTAATAAGACTTTCATTCAGTATGTCGTTCACCTGACAGATGAATCATCAATATCCCCGCGTATGAAGCCACTGGAGGAGAGATCATGACTCAAAAATGTAAAAACAAGAAATCTGTTTGGATGTAGGTCAAAACCAAGACCACCACCGAGAAGGCTTAATCCCCAAAAGTCGCAGTGTGCTGTAACCCTCTTTAATAATCTTACTTTTTCCGAGTCAGTGCACTTTGTCCCATTTTTCCCCATTCTTTGCTGGTTTTCTGTTGTTTTAGGATATTCAATAACAACATGAAAACTGGTATTTATGATAAGAAGTTTTCTTTACTGGAAACCATTGTCCAAAGGCAGGACAAGGCATAAAATATCAATCAGTGAAACCATTTCTGACTTAACTGTGTTGTTATTATGATTAAAAACCTCTCCCCAAAGCCCTTTGAGGCTTTACTAAATTAAATACTGGTATGATTTTCAACATTTTTGCTTTCAGCTCAGTGCATTTGCTTGATAGATTTAAAAAACAGAGAGAAAAATGTGGAGGACGAGCCAGCCAGTTGTCCTTTAAAATGCCCCAGACAGAGCCTCCTCTCTCTCCCTCCTGCCTGTCTGGAGTGATCCTGACCACCTACAGCAGTCTGCAGCATCCCACCTCCACCAGACAGACACAGAGAGAGAGAGAGAGAGAGAGAGAGGGAGAGAGAGAGAGGGAGAGAGAGAGAGGGAGAGAGAAAGGAAAGAGAGAGAGGGAGGAAAGAGACAGCTGGGTGTCTGTGAGAAACAAAGCGGTTAACTGTGAGGGATAAAAGACTGAGTAGAGGCAGCGAGAGAGAGCTGAAAAAAAATAGACAGAGCTGAGAAAGAGTACACAACATGTCCCCTGGGACTGATACAGCCACTCACTGTGACACTAATGAGCTTTTCAAATAGGTAAAGGTCACAGGTTCAAGTCTATTATGCAGAGATGCAAATACAGGAAGTATTCATGGTCTGTTTGTCCTGTCCGGTGGTGTTCTTTTGTTGGATGTCGGGCTGTACTCTCACAAGTAAAAGGACAAAACAAATGAACACACAACATCTGAAGGCTTCTATTTGGCCAGACTGCAGATAGATGTGTGATGTGTGAACAAAGAAACAGCCTGGGACATTCACAGCGAGCGAGTGGGTGGGGCGATGCTATCGTTCAGGTAGTGTTGAGTTTAGCTGATTTATACTCTTTAGTGCTCACCTCAGTTGTCAGTATTTTGTTTTCCACGGTTGTGTTTGTCTTGTAGAAACATCCTTATACATCGTCGTGATGTCACCACTAAGGACCTCCTCCTTCAGCACACTAGTTGTGAGGAAGCCTCCAACAAAGATTATTTTCCACTATGAGGTGCATGTTTCAGTGGCATTTGTCTAGAAAGTATCAAGAGACAGTCGAAGGCCCCGTGCCCACCTAGTGTTTTTTACGGGCACAAAAGCGATGGCTGTGCGTGCGCTCTGGAGTGCTGAATGGAGCATTTGTGCGCCGGAAGAACAGTGCTGTACAGCCACTGTATGACCGACACTGCTCCGTTTCTTTTTTACTCCAGCAGACATCGAGCAAAGAGGATATGGGTGCAAGACATGATCTGTAGGCCGCAAAAATACAGGGGAATATCATAAATTGGGGGGGGGGCCTTTGTGAAAAGTTCAAAGATTTTAAACTTGAGCGCTCTGAGCTGACAGACAAAAAAGGCAGAGCGCTTATAAAAAAGAAGCTGGGTGCTACAGTTTCTCTCCTGGCACTTTTGTGACTTTTTGTCTTTCATTTAGAAAGAAAAAGTGATACAGTAAAATCCTCTCTGATGCATAAATGATCTGTGGGACTCACTCAAAAACAACCCAGATGTCACCAAATAAAGGATATTAAGGATTAGCAGTTTAAGAGATAGGAGGGCAATCTAAATCCCTACTCCTGGTGATGATTTCTCCCCCCAAGCTGGTTATACAGTAAGATGATTTCTCCCTTTGTTTAGCCTTGAAAGCTAAGCCCTCCACCTATCACAAGTTGAAGTGAGACCCCCCCTTCACTGGAGAAGAGCAGAACATCACTGGAAGAGTTTGGAGAAAATTAACCTTCTAGCCTGATTTCAGTGACCCGTCTGCTGAGACGTTATGACCCATCAAAGTGGAAGGCAGGAAACATCAGGAGTGGCTGAGAGGTTGTGACGAAGCGTCTGATGGAGAAGGGGGGTGGGGGGTGGGGGGTGGGGCTGATAGATGGCGTTTAACGGTTAAAGGTCAGAGTGAGGAGCCAAGGTTACATTCCAGCTGAGGCTCTGACACGATCACATGTGTAGAGCAACAAAACTGGCTGAGAAATCGTTTTTGGGAAGATGGGAACTTTTTCTGGCATTTCCTCGAACAGCTGCATGCACTGAGGTCATTCAGCAGGAACTGGATGGCTATTACACACGGAGCACAATGGATAAGAGGGGGATTCGGATATGACGGATGAGGCTGGAAATTGATAAAAGTCGGGCACAAAGAGGAAAGAAGGAGACAAGGTGAGATGAGGTGAAGGAGAGAAACAAAAAAAGAAGTGCAGAAGAAGCTGGCGCTAAACGTCTTTTCCGTCTTGTTTTGACACGGTTGAATGTGAAGTGCTGACAGCGTGTCGAGATAAGGAGCTGACGTGTTAGAGGAATGAGTTTGTACTGTAAAGTGCAGAGAGATTGAAAGAGTAGTGGACGTCTTAATGAGAGCGTGCCAGTCACTCGACTGCTGGACCGGTTCAACTCCAGGTCAACGCCTTACACAGCCATCACTCAGGTAGAGAGGAACCGCTAATGTTAGGAAACAGAGCTCCTTCAGAATAGACATTAATATTCAAAAAGTGTGTCAGAGGAAATGAAGAAGGGTTTCGGTCCAGAGAGGAGAAAGAGTGAATGAGTGAAAGTGGTGGACATGAGAGGGTCTGCAACAAATGTTTTCATGACTGTTGAATTTATTATCTTCAAAGGAAATAATCTGCACTTAAGAAGGTGAAACCTGAAATAAGTTTGACTGAATTGTGTCGCCTATTCCCAAAACGTTTTCACATTAAATTATAACAGGAAGCTGTCTCTCCATTAGAAAGCTCCAGATCATGTTTGATCAAATGATGATCTGATGTTCTTAAATATTGAACATTGAACTGAATAATCAAATGTCCGCAACAATTTCTAAGAAATCAGTGTTGTCTTTCACATGAAGTCTGCAAGTGCACACTGTGGTTGTCTGTGTCCATTAGAAGATTATTAAGAAAGTTTGTTTTGTTGTTCAGATGAATTCATTAAATATGACAAACCAGAGCCGAGCCCTCCAGTCTTCAGACAAAGACGCATCATTCATTATTCATTCAGAACAACCAAAGTCCTCTAAAAAGGCTTCACAGTTTTTTAATTCTGGAATTACAAGAGGGCTCTGAGGTTAGTGATCGTCAGGAGCGCTGGATGATGGCGTCATTATTAAGTTCCACGTCCATAAAAAGTCTGTTAGATTAGTGGGACTATCAGATCAGAATTTGTAGAGGTAAAAATGATACTTCCTATGTAAAACACAAAGTATAAGACTGAACAGTAATATGACGATTGATAAGAGGAAACGGTCAGTGGTCACAGACTTAATTCAGT